ACATGAGCCTCCATGCTTGGCTTACTGGCTGACAAGGTTTCACTAACTTTTTGCCTAGGATGGCCTTGGACTATGATTCTCCCAATCATTGCTTCCCAAGGAGCTGGATCAGGATGTGAGGGCGATCTGGCTGTGACATCTGTCACCCCATTGATCACCAGGGTTGATTCGGCTGATCTGGCTGGCTAGGCGGGTGTCCCCTTCCTCCCTCACCGCTCCATGTGCATCCCTCCCGAAGCTGTGTGCTCGGTTGAAGAGGACGACCATCCCCGATAGAGGAGGACCGGTCTTTGGTCAAGGGTATACGAGTAGCTGCGCTCCCCTGCTAAAACCTCCAAACAAGCTCCCAAGTAGCTGGATCACATAGGGGAGCCACCATACCATGCCTGGTCTGTTTATGTTTTAAAGATATGCTAAATTTTCACTTAAATAAATCACAGTAATTGTTACAATAAAGTTTCTCTTGAATCTTTGAGCTTCTTATAATTCACATGTCAAAAAAACCCCACATACTGTTTATTAAAATACACTATTTTGTTGTTGTTGGTGGTGGTCATGGGGCTCGAACTCTGGGCCTGGGTGCTGTCCCTCAGATCTTCAGCTCAAAGTTAGCACTCTACCACACGAGCCTCAGCGCCACTTCCGGTTTTCTGAGTGGTTTACTGGAGATAAAGAGTCTCACTAGACTTTCCTTCCCAGGCTGGCTATGCACTGTGATCCTCAGATCTCAGCCTCCTGGGTAAGCTGGGATTATAGCTGTGAGCCACCAGCACCTGGCTAAAATCCACTTTTAATAATGTATCATTTGTCAATGGAATTTCCTGTTATAACTATTGATTGTGCAATTTAGTGAACATCTAACAAATTTAATTGGCAAAATTAGTTCTTGCTGTTAAGCCAACCAATTATTTTTTTAATTTTTTATTGTGAAAATACTGTACAGAGGGTTACAATTACATGGGCAAGATAGTGAGTACATTTCTTATCAAGCATTGTAGCCTCCTCCTTTGTTTACCCTTCCCATCCCTTCCCAGCCTTCCCCCCAACCCCACCAAAGTTGTAAAGTTCGTTTTTGACATGACAACAACTTCTCATTGTTGCAACAGGTCTACTTGTATCCTTATTTAAATGACTTGTTTTTCCCCTTCCCCTCCACAAATTATACCGACATCAAATACAGTGAAAGCAGGGGTTATACCGTGGGGGAGGGACATACAAAGCAACAAAGAAATAATCTTATAAATGCATTAGAAACAAATGCACTAAAGAAAAAAAATTTTAAATATATATGTTAGGGTTCATTTTCCTAACTTCACCTTATCTGACCTTTTCTGCCAAGCAATTATTTTTTGCTAGAAAATGTCTTACTTCAATTTGAAATTCACATTAATGAACTCTAATATGTTCACTATATCTTATTTTTATTTATTAATAGAGGATAATAAATGGATCTATTACTCAATACTCTGTCATAATACACTGTAATGTACAGTCAAAAGTAGATGTTCAAGCCGGGCACTGCACCGGTAGCTCACGCCTGTAATCCTAGCTACTCAGGAGGCTGAGATCTGAGGATTGCAGTTCATAGCCAGCCTGGTCAAGAAAGTCCGTGAGACTTATATCTCCAATAAACCACCAGAAAACCGTAAGCGGTGCTGTGGCTCAAGTGGTAGAGCACTGGCCATGAGCTGGAGACAGCGCCTAGGCCTGAAGTCCAAGCCCCACAATAGACCAAAAAAAAAAAAAGTAGATGTTCTTTGTGAAGCAAATTATATACTGATTAATGTATGTTAGACAGATAGATAGACAGACAGACAGATAGATAGATAGATACATGTAGAAGTCTGACGTTTATTTAGCTTTCAGTAGAAACTAAAAAAAAAAAAAAAAAATTAAACCCCAAAACTCAATTCCATTAGTTAGAAATGATCAATTTTATTGGGTTCAATGGAAAAGAAAGACTTGTGTTAATTAAAACAAAAGTTAACATATACATTTGTTAAAAGACACTAGAAAATCAATACAAACACTGTATAAAGTGAAATAAAATTCAGATTAACAGTAATTTGAGAATGGGGGGGGGGGGGTGCAACTGGTCCTAGGGCTTGAACCTGGGACCTAGGTGTTGTTCCTGAGCCTCTTTGCGTTCAAGGCTAGCACTCTATCACTTGAGCCACAGTGTCACTTCCAGCTTTTTCTAAAAAGTTTTATTAGAGATAAAAGACTCATGGACTTTCTTGCCCAGGCTGGCTTAGTACCATATTCCTCAGATCTCAGCCTCTTGAGTAGCTAGAATTACAGGCATGAGCCACCAGCACCTAGCTTAGTAATTTTTTTTTCTTTTTTCTTTTTTGAGGTGCTAGGGATTGAACACAGGGCCTTGAACCTTCTAGACAAATGTTCTAGCACAGAGCTATAGTCCAAGCATCCTGAATAAACCTTTTAAAATCTGATTCAGAAGATACAGGGTATCATAGAAGCTGAGAACATTAACCATGTATCCAGACTACATGAGTTCACATGCCAAGACCGCCCACTTTGTGACCTTGGGCAAGCTGTTTACTGTCTCGCTGCTTCTGAAGGTTAACAACCCTAGACTGCCTTGGCTGTCCTTTGATCTCCCAGAATACCTTACTATATTCACAACTTCTTGCCAATATTGCAGTGATTACTCTTACCTCAACAATTCACCATATACCTGAATACAAAACACTCAATGTGGTCCCAATGCCAAACTTTACCATTAACAAGAAAGTATGTGGCAGGAAAAGCAACAGGCTTCTAGGTATAAGGATTCCCAACTGATGCTTTTTTGTAGGAATCCTAGAGCAATTAATCAGAACAGGATTTGAGATTCCTTTTCTTTGTAACATGGAAGAAGCAAGTGCTAACATGAATGTAAATATATTATTGGGCAAATCAGAAAGGACCCAGAAACCAAGTCCGGAATACAAGCATTCAGAAATGATTGCCATGCTCCTGTGAAGTGTGTGCCCCAGTAGAAGGGTACTACTTCAATTCCCAGGGGTAAGCTGCTTCTATAAAAGCTGCCTGTGTGCAGACAGAGGTAGGCCCAAGTAAAACTCTGGAATGTAACAAGGAAGGAAAATCAGAAATCAGAAATTCAGAAGAATCAAACTTCCATAAATATTGTCTTTCTAGATTATGACACATCACATTCCAAAATGAACTTAAAACTAAATAGGAAATAGCCTACTAAAAATATTAATGCTTGGAACTAGTAGTGTTTTAAATTTTTGAGTTCCACTGCAGGCGCGAACATGTGAGTATAAAGGTGGACTTGAACCAGCAATTGATCTGCTTCTAACTGCTGGAGTTTGTGGTGATTTCTTTCCATGGGCAGGAAGGGAGAATAACAATTTTGTGCATTCAGCTTAGAACTAGAAAGTTAGTTGGCCTCATTTCAGGACAAGTCCAAGTGCTAAAGCTCACTTGATGGCTTAGGCTAGTTCTGCAGCGAGTGGGCAGCAGATAAGCTGGCAGGCTAGTTTTGGAATTTCCTTTTACCACTCTTTTTCTCAGCTTCATTTCTTCCTGAGTAATCAGGATATAGTATAAGAGGAAATTAGTTAAGAAATGGTTTTGTTAATGACCTTTCCATTAACCTACTCACTACAATGGCTCTTTGTTCATCCATTTTGTAATAGGGAAAAAAGGAATACTTTTGGGAAAACCAAAAAAGGAGAGAAATATGAGATTAATGGAGAACCCAGCCATGACTGTCAGGCGGAGCTGGCAGCACACCAGGTCCTCATCTAGGTCCTGCTTCTTGGCTCAGTCCATCTCAGCTTGGAATAGTTCTGGAATTGCATCACTCTGTGACTACTGGTTCTGATTTACTTCAAAATGAATTTGCTTAAGGGAAAAATTTAGATATTCCTTTCACTGGAGATAATCAAGATGCCATAAAGCCAGGCTTAGGAACTACTACAATTGGTGTCAGGGCCTGTGACTGAACGGGAATTTCTCTGAGAAATGGCATTTATTAGCCTTTCCTAACCACCACTGATTTGGTGGCTTTACAAAAAAATCTTTACATGCATTGGAGGATAATTGGAGATACTGAAAACTTAGAGTAACCATCACAGATGCACATTTTTCTTTGAGTCAAACTACAAAGTTTCAATATCAGTAATAACTTATAGCCCATAAATTTATATAATCTTTGGCTTTGTCTGAAATGATTACAGGAACCATAATTTCACCAAAATTTACTACAAAACATATTCCTGGTACCAGAATAAAGTGTGATCTAAGAGCATGCCATATGTTGTGGGCTTTCCATACATATGGTAGGATGAGGGTTTGAACTCAGGGCCTCATACTTGCTATCAGAACGTACCATGAGACACACCACTAGCTCCTTTTTTGCAGTGGTTATTTTGAGACTGGGTCTCACTTTTTGCTCAGGTCTGGGCTTGGACTTTGACCCTTCTGTTTTATACTTTATTGCCATAGCTGAGATGACAGATGTATAACAGTAAACCCAGATTATTCCATTGAGATGAAATCTTGGAACTTTTCTGTGTGGGCTGACCTGGAACTGTGATACTCTTGATCTCAGCCTCTCTGTAGTTGAGATGTTGGGTATAAGCCACTGCACTGGCCATAAGTGAATAAGCAAAAACAGCAGTGACAGCTATGTAAGAGAAAATCATGTCAAATTATAAAATACAAGTAAACCATTTCACTTCCAGAGATGCTGGTGATACATTATAATATAAGGTGGGCAAAGGTCTCACTTTGGTCATTAAGCCCAACCCAAATTCAACAGAAAGAATATTGCTTTTAGAAGTGAGTTCTAAATGAGTTAATCCTTTTAACATTCTAGAGATGTACTTGAAATATGTAATCATTATTTGTAGCTATGTAGGTTCCAGGTTCACGGCTAATAGTTAATGAGCAGTTGCTTGCATTGGGAGGATGTTGCCAAAGCTGGGTATACAGACCTTCCAAACTTTTAGAACTGTGATGGTAGAATGGGATGCACCATTCTTAGAGATACTTTCATACTAGGTTAATGGGTACAGTGGATAGAGCAAACCCTTTTTCCACTTCTCTGTTCCAAAATCTATTTAATAATTGCCTTTGGATAGAGGAAGTATGAAAGAATAAATTGACAAAAATAGGTACTATATTTGAACTTATGTCAAAGAGGCCAACAAAGTGGTGTAAACTTTTAATTAAGAAATGATATGCCAATTGCTACAAGTTATTATATTAAAATCCCAATTAGATATATTAGACTCTAACTTTAATATGTTACTAAATATGAAAACATTTAGGAATGTATCACAAAACCATCTCATAACTGTAACTCCTCTACTGCTCCTCCCAGAAAGTCAGATCAAGAACTATCCTCACAAATACTTAAAGGCAAACACCAAAGTTGTAGCAAATTGAAAGTTAAAAGTCTGCAACTTATTTTCAAATAATTTGGCAGAAGATAAATGTGGTGTGTTGATGAGAGAGTTATAAGTTATATGATGATCACTGTACTAATGTTTCAATTTTCCTGTCCGTTTTTAAATGTTCAAATACAAAACAAGGTTATTCAACAACTCAGAATGGCTTTCATGATCATATTTAATCAATGTTCAACACATGGTACTGGGAGCACGTCAAGACTTAGGAAACTGACTAAACTGATGGCGGGGGGGGGGGGGGGTGTTCTCACAATTGGACTTTCTAACTTCCATTTAAGAATGCATTTCGGGGGCTGGGAAGTTGGCTCAATAGTAGAGTTCTTGCCTCGCATGCATGAGGCCTTGAGTTCGATTCCTCAGCACCACACAAGCAGAAAAAAAAACGCAAGTGGTGCTGTGGCTCAAGTGGGAGGGTGCTAGCCTTGAGCTGAAGAGCTGAGGGACAGTGCCCAGGCTCCAGTTCAGCCCTTATGACCAAAACAAATACAAAAAACACAAAAATGCATTTCTTCCAGTTACTTGCACTGTCCACTGATAGGATAAAGTTTAAATGAGTAACAAGGTTCTGACATACAGCTTGACAATGTTTAAGTTAGGAAATGATTAACTTAGTTCTCAATTAATATATTAGCATTTTATTTTGTGACTATGCCATCCAAGCACTATAAATACCAATCATCTATTAGACATGTACTATATCAACTAAATTAATACTAGAAATACAAAGTGCTGTGTGGATTCTGAGAAGATACATAAATGAAACAGATGGGATTAGACTGTGAACACCATATAATAATAAATGCCTTTGTTAAAGATGACAGAACCTGTAGAGCACAGGAATCAGTAAATGCTTCCTTGCATTCCTTAACGGGGATGATATCTATCTTAATAACACTTTTCAGTTCCATGTTTGGGGAAAAAAGTCACAATGAGTCAAAGCCAATATAGGTAATAACCCTGATAACTGTTTTCTCTCTAAAAAAAACTGCAGATGAACCAGAAATACCTGTGTTCTTATCTCCAGATAAGGACATAGTAAATGGGTAGGAAATAAGGGTCACATTCCAGGCTTGTCTTTGTGGGCAGAATGTCCTGACTAAAAGTATCAGAACTTCCACACTGAAAAGTGAGTCACACTTTCCAAGGCAGAACTCATATGTCTTTGTTGTTGTATTTTTGAGACATCATTTCACTGTGTAGCCAAAGTTGGCCTTGACTGCACTATCTTCCTGTCTCAGCCCCTCAGGAGCTGGGATTGCAGGCATATGCCTCTACATCTGGCTCATCTATAAGTCTTCAGAGCTAGTTTACCAGGTGAAAAAAAGTTAAGTACTGGAAAAAGATTCTTCCTTCTTTTTTTGTGTGTGTGTGCAAGGGATAGAACCTAGAGCTTATGCTTGCTAAGCAAGGGCACTACCACTGAGCTATCTTGCCAGCTGTGCCTGTATCATTATACAAAGACTGATACATGTAAGTGATGTTTCAAATACTAACCAAATAAGGTAATTCAAACTTCCACTTTTGGAAAACATTTTATTGTTGGACATCACTGAAAATGCAGGTTATTTGTGTTTGATGCTATGGGTAGCTTTTTCTCTTAATATTATTTAACCAAAAGTAAAATTCTTATTTCCACTTGCAGGTTTTCAAATCCCTGACTTGGATAAGAAGCTTAAATAATAAACATTACACCTAAAATAGCAATCTTCTTTAGATCCCAGGAAGCTTAAATTGGCAATAACTCATTAATGGCCCAGGCCTGGGATTCATAACATCTTTGGAGAAATACTGGAGAAGTATTTATAGTCTAGAAGTGAAGGGGAGTAAGGAGTAGGCAGGATGACAAGTATGAGTCATGCTTTATTCTGTTCTGCCTAAGGCCATTTCTGAACCTTTCCTTCTGATCAAACACAAGTGGCCTTGTAGCTGACAGGACCACATGCAAAAGGAGGCATGTAGGAGGCAGCCATTCTGGCTGATAAAGATAGTATAACATCAGCATTCATTCCAAAATGGCAGGCAAAAAGACAATAAAGGAGAGAGTTGAAGAGAGGGTACTCTCCTAGGGAACACGTAGGGAATTAAGAAAGCAGCTGGTGCACTGGACATTGATCAAAATGAACTAAGCAACTCAATGGCAGTGATGGGAGGGAGGGAACAAGTGGGAAAGAGGGAACAGCTGATGGTATGCAAAATATATCACCCAATGTGAAAGAAATAACTGTATTGTCAAAGCTCATAGAACTCATAAATGTTATAGACCACGATAGACAATTTGCCCCATGAAAGTTAGAATGTGTTTGTGACTTTAACTAAGCATCACCATCCCACAATACTGTGAAATTTGAGAAATTATGTAATCAATCACAATATAGAATTTGGGGGGGAAAAGAAGAAAGAAAAAAAGCAGCTGGGCAGAGCAGTGCCTGCCTCTTCTCTGAGCTCCTGAGGCACCATCTTGATGCCGTTGCTTAACCATCATGTCTCTAGTAATACCTTACCTTTGAAAAGACCATACTGGGTAATAGAGACCAAAGCAGGGCCTAATACCTTTCACAAATCTACTTTTTTTTTATCACAAATATTTCAACCACTCTAGGAGGAAAAGAAGAAAAACAAGGATTCATAGGGTATGAAGACTAATGATCCTTCTGGAGCTATATTTCTAGGACCTTCCCATATGCTTTAGAGTCTGCAGTGAGTTCCTGTGATTTCATGCTGTCTCAGTATACGCTGTACTATAAGCTGGATTTATACCTGAAGTTAAGAGCAGTCACCTTAGACACAGGCTCCAGTTCTTTCTGACTTGTTTCTCAGTGTGATGATGCAGACAAGAGTGGGCTGCTGACTCCAACATCCTGTATGGACTGTGCAGATTTATATGCCTACTTTATCAATGGCCAGGCATAGCAGTAATCCCAATGCCTGGAGATAGAGACAGGAAGACTGCAAGTTTAAGGGTAGCTTGGGAGCCAGGCGCTGGTGGCTCACACCTGTAATCCTAGCTACTCAGGTGGCTGAGATCTGAGGATAGCGGTTCAAAGCCAGCCAGGCAAGAAAGTCTATGAGACTCTTATCTCCAATAAACCACCAGAAAACTGGAAGTGGCGCTGTGGCTCAAGTGGTAGAGCACTCACCTTGAGCTGAAGAGATGAGGGATGGAGCCCAGGCCCAGAGTTCAAGCCCCATGACCGATTTAAAAATTTTAAAAAAAAGGGTAGCTTGAGCTACATAGTGGGTTTGAGGTCACACAATTAAAATTCCCCATGGGAGGCTTATTTGGATAATACCTGTACTTCCCTTCTTCTGACTGTGAACCTTGACCTGTGCTCACGTGGCCTCAAGATGTATATAAATAATAAAAGCCTTATTTCTATCTTGTGCCTCCTTTAATTCATGTTAAAACAGTCTCATCTCCTTCCAGCACATTACTAGTGTGGCTGAGTGCCTTTTACCACAGCTAAGCAGGTCCTTAGTAAGTCAGTTTCCCCAAGCTGAATAATGGCAACTGCTAACAGCAATCTCTTTTCTCATCCTGTTGCCCCAGTCTGTAGGATTCTTTACCAATTGCAGTCTGTGCCACTATGCACACCTTGGGAAGCCTTCTGTCCTTCTTTCTCTTCCTGCTGTTAGATACTAGCCTATTCTTCTCCTGTGCCACTCCATGACTGTTGCTTCCCATATCCATCTCCAAGGCAATCATCCTTAACTAAAAGATTTCTGCTGCCTTGTTAAGTGTTAGGAAGAACTGGAAGAAAAGACGACATCCTTATCTGCTGTTGAGGCTTTTAAAATAGGAAATGTGTGTTTCTAGGACAGAAGGAACTAGTGAATAGACCTGCATTCCCTGAATGAACTCTCAAATTTACTTTTCAGAGTTATATCTCTAACACACATGCTACCTCCCATGTCTCATGTACTCATGAGTAGATGACTGTCTACAAGCTGGCCTGGAACTGTACTTGCAGGATCATTTCTTTGGGAAAATGTTGCCTCAGTGGTGAACAGTTAACTTACAAATGGCATTTCTAAACTACCTTTCCTTCCTCAGAAATGGTATATAAGATAGGGAAATCTATATATCTGGTAGCCAAAAAAATAAAATCAAACAGCAGCCATCTTTGGCTGTAACAGAATCCTATATACATATATTACCCTATAGCAAGACATAAATACATATACATACATGCATACATACACAAATATGTAAGTAGCAAGTAAACAAAGTAAATCACTAAACTGATCCCTCTTTCACTCATACAATGTAACACTCTCATCTTCATTTATACCATTTTTACTAGCCTTCCTAGACTACCTGCCAAAATGTATGTTTAGTATGAGAAAAAGTTACAATAATGGTGAAATATTGAATATGACACAAAGGACGTAGAGATCATGTGGTAACACCGAGGATCAAGAAGAACACACATTTAGAAAAGAACTCAAGAAGGGCTGGGAATGGGGCTTAGTGGCAGAGTGCTTGCCTAGCATGCATGAAACCATGGGTTCAATTCCTCAGTACCACATACACAGAAAAAGCCAGAAGTGGTACTGAGACTCAAGTGGTAGAATGCTAAACTTGAGCAAAAGAAGCCCAGGGACAGGGACAGTGTCCATGCCCTGAGTTCAAGCTCCAGGGCTGGCAAAAAACAAAACAAAACAAAACTCAAGATACCTAGAAAAGCTAAACATAGTGCTGTTCCCTAATACTCACTTCCAATATTTTTGTTTGTTTATGTCAATCA